TTAGGCGAGCTTGATGTTTCTTCCCCATTGTCTTTAACATTGAAACCAGACAACAATAATTAATAAGTAAGGTCGTTGACAATCTAAATAAAAAGTAAGCACTCCAAAAAAGAATTAAACATGCACTGCAAAAACAAATTCCATGCATTTAACACGTCACCCACACTGCACACGTTAGGGTAAAGTATATGCAGTAAGGCTCCCTATTCTGTAAAAAAAAGGAGTCAAAGCTGCCATAAGAAAAAAGCATTTTGTATTATGGTTATGTACTAGGTAGTTTTGTTTTGTTTCACTATGATACTACCTAATGTAATTTACTAAGTACTTGAGAATAAGTCACAGGTGAGAAACTGGTTTGAAAAATGTAATTCTTTATGTTAAGGGGTAAAACAAAAGTGATACAGATATTGCAGAAATCTTCAAGTTAATATTCTCTTTAAAATTACTATAAAAGCCAATTCATAAAGACTCAGGACTTGAGTGAAATAATACGAGCTGTAAAAGGACAGGAAAACAGAAACATTAGCCCTTCAACTCAATGAAAATAGAAATTATACTACAGTACCACAGTTCCTGTATCAGTCAGGAAAATGAAGATATTTGAAATTCTAGCATTGAGGACATTTGATATTCAGAATGGGATATAAGTTATACATTTCTAAAACCAAGCAACTAAGATTGCCTTTCTTTCCATTATTAGATACATATTGATAATTTGTCCACTTGATAACTTAGAATGTTACCTGCATAATGTCTTTGTTTCAAAAACTACAAATTGTGTTCAAAGAACACATCCATGAAAATGTTATCTTGGGCACACAAGGACATTGTTTTCTTACAATGATAATAGAGGGGAAAGGGCACAGCCTAACTTTAAAACTTACACATAAATTCACATAGTAAAAGAAAAGATCAGTTAAAGACTTTTAAAAAAAAACTGGTTTAAAGTTATTCTGCAGATTACATGGAAAGTTAAAAGTCAAGACATCAACCTAGGTAAAATTAGGTTCCATTTTTGAGGTTCAAATAATTATAGTGACAATTCAATAAAAAAGACAAATGTATTTGTGTGTATACAACATTTTACTCTGACAGACTCTGCTATCCAATTATGTTGTGATTACAAAACTGAAGGAATGAAGCCCACACACCCCCCAAAACGCAGACTCTATAGAAGGAGTGGCTGTTACACAGGTGCTGCATTACTGAACTTGGACAGAGAAGGGAAAGCCAAGGAAACTGGTTTTCATTTAGGGAATGAAATAATGGGAAAGTGATCATAGTCTATTAAATTAAGTATTTTCTGTTCTACATATCTGCCCCTCCTTTGGCAACCCTTAGATAAGAAAAGAACTCCCTTATCCAGGGAAGTACAAGGGAGATAGAGATTTCTAGTAGCTAGCCGACAGCGATTATTCACGAAAAGGTAAAGAAATAACCAGAAGGTAAAGAAAAAGCTGAGGTAAACAATGTATGCATTTAGGCCAAAGGCACTGTTTATAACTCTAGTCAGTTTTCATCGTTGCAGAAAATAGTCAAACAATTGGCCAAATCAAACACTCTGAAGTTGGTCTTACAGTATTTCTTATGAAACCATAGATGTTGAGGACATTAACTTATTTGGAAGACACACACACAGACCTGTCTTGACCTCTCCGCCCTCCTTTAATACCCCCTCTTCTTCCACATGCCCAATTTCTTCATTAGCTTCTGTATTTGCCAAAGTAAAGAAAAAGACAAGGCCAGGGGTCCGCTTGTTAGTTTTAAAAGTCAGCAAACAAACAAACAAACAAATCATTTTTCAATGAAATAATGGCTCCTTGTAAAAAGAAAAGTAAGTTACTTATTGCATTTCTGACAAGCCTTTGAAAACAAATCTGTAGACTGTTAGTGCATCATCACAGTTGGCAGTGGTACTGACGTGGGGGAACAGAAACCATGACCTCTAGAAGATTTGGAACATGTGGATAACTAAATAAGGGAGGCACAATTCTTTGCCCCTATAATAGGTATATTAGGAAAATGTTACATAAATTTTCTTCTGGGAAGAAAAAAAATGACACTAGAATCCCCCCCCCCCCTTTTTTTTGAGGCAGGGTTTCTCTGTATAGCCCTGACTGTCCTGGAACTCACTTTGTAGATCAGGCTGATGTAGAACTAACAAAGACCCACCTGCCTCTGTCTACCAAGTGTTGGGACTAAAGCCTAAAGCCGCGAGTCACCCACCATAGCTACGCCGGTATAAACTCCCGTTTTTAGAAAATGAAAATACATCAAAGTCAGGATTTTAAAAAATAATGATGATGATGTCTAATAGTTGTTGGATACATTGCACTTTTATATCATTCTCGTTTCACACATTTTTGGCAAAGAGAATTTGAAAAATATTAACCTCAATATCAAAATATATTTTTAATTAATTTAGTTACTAGGTAATATAAAATAATTACTCAAAGCCATAGTTAAATTACAGTTTACTTTTTTTTTTAGTTTCTAAAGGTATAATACTTCAATATGTTTATACTACAAATGCCATTAATGACAAGATCTAACAACCATTTAGAAGAAAGTCAAATTTGGACTACCAATTGATAGTCTATTTTGGACGACTGCACCTTTAACTTTGGATCTGCAGAAGAGGAATTCACTACATCCTTTGAAACTGAAGGAGCTACAGGTTCATGGATCTCTGAAGCCTCAATATTAACACATCTGAAAATGCTGCTAATCGTCAGGCAGGACCTTTATGTGATACAAGCTAAACAAAACCTCTTCCACACTGCAAAGAACAGGAAAGGCTTTACTGTCTCTTTCCTTTATGAAATAAAAAGCAGAAAATCATAATTAGAGACATTACTCGAAACTGCTAGTGATATTAGTGGTTTTAAAGTACTCTACCTGATAAAAAACAGAATGCAATGAGAGCATTCATACTTCGACTCTAACTCTTCAAGCCTGAATTCCCCTCAGCAGGAAGGGTTGTTTTCTCCCATAGCCAGCACTGCACTCCTTGAAGCTATCCATGCCTCGACTTTTGCCACCACCGATACGAAAATGAAAGCTTCAAATTTTTGAGGGGGCAAAAACTGCACACTATTGAACTCTCCTCGTGAAAAACAACTTTTAGTCTTATGGAAACAGTCAAGCGCTACAGCAATGCCACAGATGTCTTTCTATCAAACAGGAGAGGATAGCACCAGCCCCAGCACCACTGTGCTGTGGAGAATTATGATTGGCGAGAAGCAGAAGCCACCACAGAAGTTGACAGTCAGTCAGTCAGTCACAACTAACAGGAGCATGACTTACATCAAAAGGTTATGTAATACAATACGCAATTCGCCGGTTGATGCAACCACACAAGAGTACAACTTTTCTAGAAACATAGGAATGACAAGTTTTTCAATGGCAATCCATATACTATTCAAGGTATCATTGCACTTTTTAAGGCAATGTTTCATTTTTCAACTCAATAAAAACTTGTTTCAGTCATACAATGTGCTACGCATCATTCTATGTGCTGGAGACTCAGCAGTATAAAACACAGCAGTGGTTTCAAAATTCTAAAACTAGCAGATTTTTATCATACTAGCAAATGTTTGACAGCCCATGTATTACAACTCAGTGTTTTTTCTCCAGGTATAATGCAGTGTTTGATAATAAAGGCACAGAACTGTCATATTTATCCTTGATATGCTCTAAGCAGAATTGCTACAACAGGAAACACAAGCCATAACCACTATCTAACTCAACAGCTTCTTTTGCAGAGACAATTTTAACAATAAAAAGGACCATCATAAATACAAAATGAAATATAAAATGATAACTATACCCAGCTTATGTATATGTCCTCAATGGCATAAACACAGCCTGCAATTGATATCCCTGGTTATAGTCTCATTCAAAATCCAGAATTCTGTTTAAAAAGTAAATTAAATATTTTGTAAGAACTAATATTATCTGGTTATTTAAAAGAAATTAAACTTGCCGCACTCTGGCTTGAATCAAAATTTAATTCCATGGAGTCATTTCACAGAAAATAAAATTTGAGTACTTGGTTAGAAACTAGAAAACAAAACAATTTAACTGTATATCAAGCCATATAAATGAAGGGATGTCAGCCGCAGTTGGGTTTATTTTTGCTTGCACAGCCCCCCCCAGAGGCTTTCACACAAACAAACCCTCCATCGTGTACAGACCTTCATAAGGATCTAGCTCCTTGACGTCATTGTCTGGGGAAAACAAAATAAAACGAAAACGGGGGGGGGGGGAAGGGGGGAACCAAAGCATAAGGGTTAAAAACAACAGAATATTTCAAAGTTATAGAATATATCGTCTTTTAAGAAAAACTTAAATGGTGATTCAGATGTATATGTAGCTTTGAAAAAGTTAATGAAAAGAGGGACTGAGGTTTAAAAGATGCTAAGATTATTCTGCCCTGTTATTCATGCTTTCAGAGACTTTAACCAAGATGTCTAGCTGCTTGAGAAGTCTGCTCAAGTGTGTCACCTTTTCACATAGCAAAGCAACAATTATTAGAAGCATCAGTACAGCATGCACCTTTTCCTGTATACTCAGGGTTACCTGTTGCTTGCTTTCCAGTTTGAGAAGGGTCACCGTTGCTGTGAATCTGCTAATCCGCCCTTTGCAGTGTGTGAACACTAATTTAGCTAGTTACTAATAAACTTTGTGTAATCACCAACAATTACACAATCCTAGATGTAGCAAAGACATTATAAGCCAGCTGCTAGCATAGCACTACTGCTTACTGTTAAATACACTTACTCAAATTTTAAATGTAAAACAAATAAAGAGTATTTCTTTTTATCTCCAAGTATGAATTTTACATGCAGTATTTTACACACAAATATAACTTGTCAAATGAAGCCATGCATATAGCTAGATACAGGAAGCTAATAAGACAAAGACAGTAGGAAATCCCGATTCGCCTCAGCTTCCACGGTTATTTACTACACGGCATAACTAGAAAACTGAAAACTTACTTCTCTCCAGTGTTCCCTTTGGTGGAAGCTGTGGCAGCTGCCGGCCTCTTCGTCCTGTTACCGGAGTACTTGATGGACTTGTCTGGACAGACCCAGTACGAGGGTGAGACCTACAAGACACCATGAACACATTTTCAGTCAGTGCTAAGTACATTCGGGACTTTAGCTGCTTTATGTAACGGCTGTAATGGTGTGATTTTTAAAGGCGGTTTGCTGTTGGTTAAAAGAGAACAGGACAAAATGTGGACATTTGCACAGTTAAACACCAAAAAGAATGTTTATGTTTTGGTGTAATATGCGTACATACACACATACATGCACACAGAGCCTATAGTAAAATCCATGAAATTAGTAATACAGACTACTAATTTATTCATATGAAAGCAAGTAGAAAATTCTATAACCTAAAAAATAAAAAGTGCACACTTTTTCTACCATTATCTAAATTCTTAAAACTAATCTTCCTCCTTGACCTGAAGCAGACTTTTACTTAAGTTTATACTAAATATCCTTTTTTAAAGAAAGAAAACATCTCAAGAATCTACCTCAAAAAAAAAAAAAAAAAAAAAAAAAACCCAAGCAACTCAAAATTCAGCTAAAGAAAATTCTGATATCTAATATTAATACTCATAGAAACTAAATGAACCTAATTTTATTTACTGTGGTGATGATTATTAGAAAAGTCATGACTGATGAACACAGCAATTTCTCATTCTGTGGAAGAACATGATAGTTATGACAAGGTTTACCCGGGACTCCTGATTAATAATGAGAAATCACAGAACAAAGGCAATCAGGACAGTTCAGAAACAAATTACGATGGGGATGACACACTATTATATCCACTGAATATAAATAGTGTGTTTACACTGACAGGGTTAGTATTGACTTGTACTGGTGATCAGCCAAAAATGATAGCGGAGACCATTTAGCTGTGGGGAAAATAACATGGTGCTTGGCAGAGCAGACAGGGAAGTTAGTCTGATCGATTTATCTTTCACCTCGATAAGGCAGGTGAAGGAGGGGCAGATCTTCCGGTCATTAATGAAGGCATCGACCTCATGAGGTTTGTGTCAGCACGTTCGGAGGATCTGGAGCGGGTGGTGGTCCGCTCTAGGAGAGGCCGCTGTTCTGTTGATCTGCATCTGAGATATGGCTGTCTATCTGCTGCTTCACAATCCCTGAAATGTTAGTCAAAAAGCAGCTCAGTTGATCTTTAATGCCTTTCTGCTATTTGGTCATGATGCATCAAACTGATTTTGAAAAAAAAAAAAAAAGAATTGCTTAAAGTTATTGTGTATTTAAAAAAACAAAAAGAATTTTCCCCAACACATCCTGAGTAAATTCTGACTAAACTTAAAAAGTTCTAAAGATCCCAAATCTGATTCTATTAGCAATGACCATAACTGAATTATAACTGACCTGCTCAGTTATGGTCATTGCAACCCCAGCCACCTGCCTTCCAAAATGAACAGAGCATGTGGCCTGTGACTGTGTGGTGTATCCTAGTTCAAACACACTCAGCATGTTTCCTAGTGTTTGCCAGAGAAGAGAGAGCTATGCAGGATGTTTATTAGCGAACAGAGTAGATATATAAATGTTAATAGCATTATCATAGTATACTGAAAGCTTGGATGTTTTAAACAGAAGAATGAAAAAGAGGTTCCAGGAAAATAGGGCACCTTGGAAGTGTGTCTCCATATTTAAACACGCTTTCAAACGGAAATCACTGTGCAGAGAACTGGTGGCCTCTCCAACCATTAATATTGGATTCTTGTAGAAGCAAGAATACTTACCCCTGTATGAGCAATAATCATTGACACCTAGCTATTGGAGCCTACCATAATGCTCATATACCCTAATGTGATCAATAAATGGATATGATTCAGTTCTATGATTTGGAAGACAAATCTAAAAACATTAACCTTTGCTCTAGAACTCAAAAGTAACAAAATATGCCCAAATCCATTTCAAACAGACACCTCCTGGGCCAACTGCAGTCACAGTGAAGGGAGCATTTATAGACTACAGAGAGCATGCTGTGATGTCATGAACAGTCACATTTACCGAAAAATACTCTGATGTTTGGAAATGGAAAAATGCACAATTAGAGAAAAGTAAGAAAATAGGACACAATATCCTCAGTATCACGAATTATATATCATTCAGTTTTGGATAAACAAATACTATTAGGAACAGAGTACTGGATTCATCCTATATTGTTTATACATTTGCATAATACTTTAAAGTCAAAGACTAAGACAGAAGTGACTTCATTTTAAGAACTTTTATTATTGAATCAATGGAGCTGATTTTCTATGTGAAGTTCAGTAACTTTTACGTAACTACATCCAGAATAGGGGAAGGGAGGAGAGAGCCTCACAACCAAAATGCCATAATAGCCGAGATTAAGTATAAATTCATACATGATATGTGATTACATTTAAAAAGATGAATTAAATGAATTTCATCACAAAATTCATAATTATATTCTTCTGATTTTATTTGGAGAAAACACTCCTTTTGAAAGTAAACGTGGCCAATAATTTATGACCTTTATCACCTTTATGCCTTTATCACAATAGGCCAATAAAAACAAAAGGCTGCATGGCTATCTTCCTCTTTGTATTTCTTACACTTCTAAATATCTATATTTTGAAAAGTACCAAATTTGACATTTGTTTCAAAGATTTATTGTGATTTTAGACTAATTTAATAAACTTTCATCCCACATAGCATGTGGTGGCAAAACTTAGTAAAGTATCTAATAGTGATCACAACAGGAAGCTGGCATCCTCTCAGTTGTCAAAAATTTCATCTGCTCGTACCTAGTTAAGAAATATGTGTATATACATATATATGTACATGTTCTAATACATATATGCAATACATATATCTCATATATATATACTCATATATCATGTGACATCATGTAGCTTGACTTTTCTGATTATGTATTTTAATATAGTTGATATACAACCCAGGTGAGTGACAGAATGTTAACCGAAACGTACTGCCACATCTCATGTCTCAGAGGGACACTGTTTACTTTTAAACAGATATCCGCACCTTCAGAAAAGTACCATATAAAGATTTTTCATTCCTTAGTGAATATGTTTTGATAATTATAGGGAATTTTTATATTTTTCCAGATACCTTTGTTACCACAAATAGTATGGAAAATAAAATCATCATAGACTAAGAAAGTAGGTTAATAAGTGAAAGATAGCAATAACCGCAGTATTTAGATAGAATTTTCCAAAAAAATGCTGTCACAGTAATGGAAAGCTATCATGTTTTAGATGTTGTAACACACAGTCAAACTATACTTTCTGTGCCCACCACCAGCAAAGAATAGAAGTGATCGGTTAAGGCCTAGGGGTTAAAGGTCACAGTGGCCGCGGTGAAGTGAATGACACAGTCCCATAGGCGTCACCCCAGTACTGCAGACTAGATAGCACAGCATTTCTAGCTACACTGGTGTAGACAATATAACAGGAACGCATACATGACCTCAAGAGCAACAACTGAAAGTAGGAAACAATAATTATTTGTAAGGGTTAACTGTTTCAGTGTTGTTTAATTGGTGTTCTTGAGCTGTGGTTTACATCTCCAATATAAACACTTTTCCTAGTAATCCTAATTTATTTACCTCATTTTCTTATAGGCATAAAAATACTGTTTTAAAAGGGGTACTCACCATTTTGTTAAAAACTACACAACATAAACAAGAAACCTTCACTTGTAAATTTAAACCTTTAGGAAAATAATTTAACTATATTTTAAAAAGTGGTTTAATAATCCATTCCAGTTCTATTTTTGAGTTTACAATTTTAATCAATGTTTAAAATAGTTCCTATTTTACTTGTAATTTTCTGGATTGATACACTATGTGATGCACTATGCAGAGGACTGCACTGTGTAAGGACTGCGCTGTACATTGAACGCGCTTGAAGAGGAAACTGCCTAATAAACCCTCAATTTCCTGCCACTGAGTTTCAGAGCTGGAAGAAGGGCCATCATGGCAATCGGCTAGCACAGGGCAGACTGGGACAAGGACGAGACAGAGACAGGCCAGGATAAAAGAGTAAGAGTTTCTATAATGATAACATTACACAGGCTGAGCAGTTGTGTTTATAAATTTAGGAGTGTGTGTGTGTGTGTGTGTGTGTGTGTGTGTGTGTGTGTAACAGAAAAAGCAAGGGGGAGTATTGGGGTGGTTCAAGAGAGGAAAGGGAACAGAGAAATGATGCAATTATTTTAATTTCAAAATGTCAGAAAAGGAAGTAAACCATTTAGCTGTGCTTTGATTGAAATGTTAGCCTTTGCTCAGATATTTGAAGTTTTAGTATTCCTTCAGTACTTTATAAGGAAAAGTATTCAGGACATTTAGTGAAGCTGAACTGAGTCTTGCAACATTTTCTCTGTCCAACTGGTGATTCTTCAAACATTTTTAAAATTCTTACGCATCTGATATCTGATACAATTTCCCACGGATTCAATCACCTTCGCTCCCTTGGGCCCTTGTTTTCAATTAAAATGTAAAAGATTATTGGCCAGGTGGTGGTGGTGGTGGTGCACACCTTTAATCCCAACACTCAGGAGGCACAGGCTGATGGATCTCTGTGAGTTCAAGGCCAGCCTGATCTACAGACAGAGTTCTAGCACAGGCTCCTCCAAAGTTACAGAGAAACTCTGTCTTGAAAAACCACACACACACACACACACACACACAGAGAGAGAGAGAGAGAGAGAGAGAGAGAGAGAGAGAGAGAGAGAGAGAGAGAGAGAGAGAGAGAGATTTATGAAAGTTTCCAGGGAAGAACCAACCTGTAGGATTCTTTTCTATACCTTACTTCTAGCTACATGCACACTCACTCCAAGGATACAATTCCAAATCAAACTAAGTTTGATATAGAGTAATAGAACATCACTATAGGACCTCTAGACAAGTATGGATACGTACAAAATAAATTCAAAACAGGGCTTGCTCGAAGGCCCAGTCCTTAAGAACACTGACTGCACTTTTAGGGTTCAAATCCCAGCAATCACATGACAATTCACAACTGTCTATATACTGCCTCTAACTCCAGTTCCAGGAATTTTGACATCCTCACACAGAATATACATATGGAAAACACCAGTACACATTAAGTAGATAAATAATAAATCTTAAAAAATTCAAAACAACCACCATGATAAAATGTTTCAAAGCAACATTCAGAAATTAATGAATGTCAGCTTAACTTCTGAATGACAATCTGTTATACATAAGAAATTTCATATTTATATTATAAAACAGTCATGAACACACTTAGATGTTCTTAAAAATAAACCTATGGATATTAGTTATTCATTTCCCTTACATAAGTAAATTCATTTATTTATCTCTGTATTTTTAAAAATTCTGGTCTTGAACTTGCTATGTAAATAAGTATATCCTTGACTCTCTGGTCCTCTTGCTTCACCTTCTGAGTGCTGGGATAATAGGTGTGTGCTATCACCCTAGCTTAATTTATTTATTTTTGCAGCAGGGTCTCCCTGCTATAGAACAGACTGGCCACAAACATGCCGTATTCCTACCTCTGCCTCCTGAATGCTAGAATTTATGTGTGCACTGTCATGCCTGGCTCTGAAATTAATTTTAAAAGGTAAGATGTAAGCTGTATACAGTGGTATGTCTCTTTAATTCTTAAAAAAAAAAAAAAAAAAAAAAAAAAAAAAGACTTGTTTATTTATCTTATGTATGAGTACTCTGTCTGCATGTACGCCTACAAGCCAGAAGAGGGCACCAGATCTCATTATACATGGTTGTGAGCTGCCATACGGGTGTTGGAAATTGAACTTAGGACCTCTGGAAGAGATCCAGTGTTTTTAACCACAGAGGCATCTTTCTAGCCTCCAGATCACCTTAATTATAGAGTTTAGAAAGTTGAAAGAAAAAGAGTCATTAGTTCAATTCTAGTTTGAGACATATGTGGAAACCCTATCTCAAGAAACCAAATGAGTTGAAAACTGAGTTTATCTGCAAAGAAAGAACCCTAATCTCCAGAGAGGTGAGCCTTACCTATGAGTACATGACATATAAAGGTGATAACATGTAAGGTGACAAGAGCAGAAGTGTTAATTTTTGTGAAAAATGTCTTGACTATCCGGGAAATTCTCTGGATGTTAATTGAAT